GTCCCCATGTCCCAATCTTGGAGTGGTTTGGCCCGAAATCCGCTCTCTGCACATTATTACAAAGTTGACTCAAACCTTAACCCTGGGCTTGAAGTATCCACTTTCAGAATCAAGTTGTGGGGCACAAAGTGGAGATTTGGGGTCGCGAGTTGTGGTTTGGGGTCAGGTGGTGAGATTTGGGGCCGAGGCAGAGCAAGGTTGGGATCAATGGCCAAGGGCTGGGTGTGGGCTGGGGGTCTGGAGGAAGGGTCTGGGCAACGGGGACGGGGGGGACGAGGAGATGGGGACAGCAAGGGCATCGTCAATATAATCAGCAGGAGCAGCACCCCCAGCACCAGGAGCTTTGACACAGAAATAGGATCCGGAATCCTCGTCCTTGAGGTTGTTCATGGTCAGCGTCACCGAGCTCTTCCCGTTGTCCCTGGATATCCTCAACCGGCCCTTGACTGACGGTGCGTACTCGGTGTAACCTCCACTGTCACTGATCCTTGCGACGTATTCTAGCCCCTGCCCGGGTCTCTGGCGGATCCAGCCCATCCCAAAATTCCCAAAACTGAACCCAGACCCTTGGCAGGGGAGGCGCAGGGACCCCCCGGGGGGCTGGAGGTCCCCCCCGCACTCCAGCAGGGTCACGGCTGCCCGTGTTGGAAAAGAAATGAAATTGCGCAAAATGTGTAATTATAGTTTAGTTATGAGTTGTGTGTGAATTGGTTTGTTAAAAGCAGTTTTGCAGTTTTGCAGCCGTTGATAGTGTGTGTGTTTGGTTTGTGTGTAACTTAGCAGGTAGTCTTAGGAATTTAATAAATAATTAAACTAGTGCAGGAGAGTAAGAATGCTAACCTGTCTGAAGGCAGCATACAATGCTCTTAGAATAAGATAAGCAGAAGATTTATGATCTTGCCTGTGAACTAAGGAATGTATCACAAGGGAACTGTTTCTTGGAGACTTTGTTGTGAATCGCATGTATAAGAGGGAAGCACCCATATGTGAAATCGGGGGCTTGGGTTTTTGGGACGTGAGTCCCCCAGCACCCCGGGCCCGTAATAAAGCACCCACAAAACTTATCCGAGTTTTGTGCCATTTATCAATCGGGCAGCAGTTTTTCTGGCGACCGCGGCAGGACTCCAAAGGCAGCTGGGGCGGTTCCGCATTCCGATCCACTCCAAGCCGGCACCGAGCACTTCTCGGGGAGACATCGGTCGTGCCCGACCCCGCGCCTGTTGGACAACTGCCAAGGTAAGCCTGAAGGTGCTTTATATTGGAAAAAGGTGATAATTGGATTTGGATTTGGTGGTTGGTAAAAAGCCTAGGCTCCGGCCATAAGACGTCTAAGGACGCAGGACCGGAACTCGCCTCCTGTTTTTGTTTGGGAAGGACGGCGAGAAGGTATATTGGTTTAAGGTGTATTGGTTTACTGGAACTAAAGGTGGAATTAAAGGCTGTAATATGATGTCTTTTAAAACTTTTAAAACCTTTGCGCAAGCCAATGGTAAAATACCTGGAAATACACCATTAGGTTGTATATTGAAACGGTGGAAAAGTGAGGGGTATTATCAAGAATTGGATAAAAGTAAAATGATAGATTATTGTAATCATTGTTGGCCTGAATGTGAGATTGGGCAAGCGGGATGGCCGGTGAATGGTACACTGGAACTGGAGATAATGGAATCTTTGATGCAATTTTTAAGGAGAAATGAGAAATGGGATGAAATACCATATTTGGATTTGTTTTTCGTTTTGTACCGGAAAGATGAATGGCAAAAGGAGTGTGGTATTTTGGTTTTAGAAGTGAATGATGAAAGGGAGTGTGTGGGATGTAAAGAAAGAAAGGAGCGTAATTTGTATCCTTCAGTTGAGGAAGATTTGTCTTATTGTATAGCACGCCCGAGGGCTCCGGTTGCTCCTAATGTGCCCCCTGCTCCCCCTGCGGATATAGCTATAAAAACGGGATCTAGTGAGAGTGATAGTGGTGGTGGTGATGGTGAAAGGAATGAGAGTGTTAAAAGAACTCCATTAGCAGGGCGGACTCGCCAGGGGAGGAAGGGGCAGAAGGGGCCACAGTTAATTGCGCCATTAAGGGAAGCTGTGGGACCACAGGGAGAAAGGATACTTATAAAGGTGCCTTTCTCCCCCGGGGATTTGGTAATATGGAAGCAATCAGCGGGGAGTTATCGGGAGGATCCCGAAAGGGTGGCAAGGGTGGTTAAAATGGTAATAAAGACTCAGAATCCGGACTGGAATGATTTACAGGTATTATTAGATACTATAATGTATTCCACAGAAAAGGAAATGGTTATTAAAGCCACTAGAGAAAAGGCTCGTGAGGAGATACGGTTGAGACAACTAAATGAAACAGTTGATGAATTGGTACCTAGTGAGGAACCAAGGTGGGACCCAAACTCTACGGGAGGAATAAGGGCTGTAAAACGATATCAGGAATTGTTGGTGGAAGGAATTAGGACAGGAATACCTAAGACTATGAACTGGTCTAAGCTGTATTCGGTCAAGCAGGACAAGAATGAGTCACCGTCTGCCTTTTTAGAACGATTAAAAGACATGGCTCGGAAGTTTACTAATTTAGATGTAGAGGATCAATCAGGAAAACTTCAATTGGCATTGTTGTTTATGGGGCAATCACAAGAAGATATTAGGAAAAAGTTACAAAAGTTGGAAGGAGAGGACACTGGAAGTTTGGACAAAATGTTGGAGGTAGCGTGGAAGGTATACAACAACAGGGAAAAAGAAACTGCAAAAAGACAACAAGCTAGTATTCTGGCTGTAATGCAACAGACAGGGGTAGGAGGAAGACCCATTAGGGGTCAAGGTCGGGGAGGAGCTAATCACGGACAAAGGGGGCTGGCAAGAGGTCGGGGAGGATTTGGGTTTGCACCTAACACGGGGAGGTTGGATCCAAACCAGTGTGCGTTTTGCCGACAGTTAGGACACTGGAAAAATGAATGCCCGGTTAGAGGAGGTATGGGCATGGGAAACATAGGATTAAGGACAGGTCCAATGGGGAATGCTCCTGTGGGAGGATTCACGGGAGGACCAGCAGAAGTCGCTCAAGCACTAGTTTTGGGAAACTATCAGAATCAAGGCTGACTAGAAAAGGATCTTAGGGTAGTTTTAGAGATAGATGGAAAGGATCAAGAATTTATGGTAGACACTGGAGCAACCTATTCTGTACTTAATAGACTATTGGGACCTTTGAGTGACACAACAGTACAGGTGGTGGGGGCAACAGGGAAGCTAGAGGAACAACCATTTTTACAACCTTTAAATCTTAGGTTTGGGGGGAAGGAATTAGATCACCAATTCTTGTATATGCCAAACTGCCCCACACCCCTTCTTGGCAGAGACCTGTTGTCCCGACTTAATGTGAAAATAATATTTGAAGGGGGAAGGGTGAAATTGGAAATACCTGAGGAACAAATAGCAGGCATTTTTGTGATCAAGGAAGTGGATGCCTCTCCTATTCTAGAAGAAATTGAGCAGGCTGTAGTACCCTGGGTATGGGAGTCAGGGGTTCCCGGAAAATCTAAAGCTGCGCAGCCCGTAAAGGTGGAACTAAAGGAAGGGGCCCAACCAGTGAGGGTAAAGCAATACCCCTTGAAGCTTGAGGCAAGGAGGGGAGTAGCCCCATTAATTAAACAATTTTTGGCTCAAGGAATATTACAGGAATGTGAATCGGAGTATAATACTCCAATTTTTCCAGTAAAGAAACCTAATGGTAAGTACCGTTTGGTACAGGACTTAAGGGCTATTAATGAAATAGTGAAAGACATACATCCAGTTGTTGCTAATCCTTATACCTTGTTAACATCTGTATCGGAGGAGTTTAAATGGTTCTCAGTGATTGACCTTAAAGATGCCTTCTTCTGCATCCCACTGGCAGTAGAGAGTAGGAAATATTTTGCCTTCGAGTGGGAGAGTCCTGATTCTGAGAGAAAGAAGCAGCTTACATGGACCAGAATCCCACAAGGATTTAAATGGTCCCCCACTATTTTTGGAAATCAACTGGCCAATGAGCTGGAGGAATGGAAGATAACCCAGGTAACAATATCCCCATCCTTGTATGTAGTCCTGCAGTACGTGGACGACATCTTTCTGGCTACTAAGGAAAGGGAAATGTGTGTGGAATTAACAATTAAATTACTCAACATGCTGGGCCAAGCAGGGTATCGGGTTTCTAAGGAAAAAGCTCAACTGGTCAAAAATAGCGTTATTTATCTCGGTTGTGAGATCACACAAGGGCAGAGACGTTTGGGAGTAAACCGAATAGAGGCAATATGTGCTATTCCTTTGCCTCGTAACCATCAGGAATTGAGATCTTTTCTAGGAATGGTGGGATGGTGTCGACTGTGGATCATGAATTTCGGTCTCCTAGCCAAGCCGCTGTATGAGGCCTTGAAGCAGCATCGGCTGGAGTGGACAACACAGCAAAAGAAGGCCTTCCAGAAATTGAAGCAGGCACTAAAGGAGGCCCCAGCCCTAGGACTCCCTGACCTGACCAAGGAATTCCAGTTGTACGTGAATGAGAGGCAAAAACTGGCATTGGGGGTCCTCACCCAGAAGGTGGGATCCTGGAAGAGGCCAGTGGGATACTTCTCTAAACAACTGGATTCGGTAAGTTCCGGGTGGCCCTTGTGTTTATGAGCTGTGGCGGCAAAAATAATTCTTATTCAAGAGGCCCGGAAATTGACTTTGGGGGCAAAAATGAAAGTATTTGTTCCCCATATGGTCATGGCTGTTTTGGAGCAAAAGGGGGGTCACTGGCTATCATCCAGTCGAATGTTGCAATACCAGGCTACCCTGAGAGAACAGGATGATATTGAAATAAAGACTACTAATCATGTTAATCCAGCAGAATTTTTATGCAGTGACCAGGAGGCTGGGGGAACTGGTGCACGATTGCGTAGACGTAATTGAACAAGTATATGCCAGCAGACCCGACTTAAAGGATGAACCATTGGAAGACCCTGAATGGGAACTATACACCGATGGATCCAGTTTTGTCGAGAATGGGACTCGTTATGCCGGGTATGCAGTGGTAACATTGGATCAGGTAATAGAGGCAAAGGCTTTGTTACCTGGAACTTCGGCCCAGAAGGCAGAGGTGATTGGACTCACCAGAGCCCTGTATTTGAGCAAGGACAAAAGGGTTAATATCTGGACAGATTCTAAATATGCCTTTGGTGTGGTTCATGTACATGGGGCGTTATGGAAGGAAAGGGGGCTTTTGAATTCACAGGGAACCAACATCAAGCACCGGGAAGAAGTGCTACAGCTACTGGATGCAGTACATAGTCCCAAAGCAGTTGCAGTTATGCATGTTAGAGGACATCAGACTGCGGAAGGAGACGTTTACAGAGGAAACCGATTTGCTGATGTTACAGCACGGCAAGTGGCACGGGAAATATGGACTCAAATGGCATTGGTACCGGTAAGAACGAATCCGGCTACCCCTTACCTGAATCAGGAGCCCAAATATTCAATAGAAGATGGAAAACTAATAAACTTGCTAGGGGCACAGAGGAATCAACTTGGGTGGTATGTTACACCACTGGGACAAATAGTGGTACCTACTCGCATAATGAAATTTATTTTGGAATCAGAACATAACAAATGTCATTGGGGGGCAGAAGTATTGGTAAAATTTTTGAAAAATGAGATAATCTCTAATCAGATGTTAACAATGGCAAAAAGAGTTAATGCAATGTGCCCGGTATGTTTGAAAAATAATCCAGTAGTTAGGAGACAAATACAAATGGGAAAGCTGCAAGTCGGGCCACAACCGGGAGATTACTGGCAAGTTGATTTTTCCGCATTGCCTAGGGCACAGGGATACAGATACTTGTTAGTGTATGTATGTACGTTTTCGGGGTGGCCAGAAGCTTTTCCATGTAGAACTAATCAGGCTAAGGAGGTGGTAAAAACCTTGTTAAAAGAAATAATACCAAGATTTGGAGTACCTTTAGGATTGTCATCAGATAGGGGTCCGCATTTTATAGCCGGGGTAGTGCAGGAATTAGCACGACTGTTAGATATAACCTGGAATTTGCATACCCCCTGGAGACCTCAGTCTAGTGGGCAGGTGGAAAGGATGAATCAAACCCTGAAAGTACAAATCAAAAAGATTTGCCAGGAAGCTTAGCTGCACTGGCCTCAAGCTTTGCCTTTGGCCCTACTCAGGATTCAAATTAAACCAAGGGAAAAGGTAGGCGTAAGTCCATATGAGATACTATATGGCAAACCATATCATGCAACTGTATTAAAAGGGGAGGTACATGTGAGTGGGGACCAGGCAATTGCAGAGTATGTTATGTCACTTAATAAGATCTTGAATTCTTTAAGAAATACTTTACAATGGAATAGACCGCTCACGCTGGAGAATTCGGTCCACGACATTCAGCCTGGGGACCAGGTGTACGTCAAGAAGTGGATCACGGATCCGCTATGGGAATCATGGAGTGGACCCCACCAGGTGATGATGACGACCTACACGGCGGTGAAGGTTCTGGGGATGGATGCTTGGATCCATTACACCAGGGTAAAGAAGGCACCGTTCCAATGGGAAACCCAGATAGTGTCTCCAACCCGGATGATCTTCCGCGCAAAGCCGCCTTCTTAATTATATTACTGCTAGTGATCATGAGACTATTACCCGTTCAAGGGTCTATTCTAGTACAGGTTGAAGAAACAAAGGTTACAGTCATGGAAGGGATGGATGTTCAATTAACTTGTGTTATATTTGACAGCCAGAGAGTTGAGGCCGGTGAAGTTATTGCAATATGGCAACGGGGGGCTGAAAGAAGCCGAGGCAAGATCGGAGTCGGTTGGGATCAGGATAAACAACAAGGAAACACGGTACTGAATCTTACTAAGGTAACCACAAACGATACGGGAGAATATACATGTTTGGTCAAGAGACGGGATAGTTTTGATTACAAAAGAGTGAGTATGAGGGTTTTGCCATGGACAGGGGATCGTGCTGAAAACATAAAGGTTGATCCAGTATCAATGGCAGCGGACATGTGGGATGGGTCACCCCTTAGAATAAATTGTTCCTTCCTAGTAAGATCAAGATATCAAAGGAACCTATGGGTCAAAAGGTGGAGGCAAAATAGGGAACTGACCTGGGACAGAATAGAGGACAGGACCAGTTGGTGGGAGAAGGAAGGCAAAGGTTGTGGGTGGTTGAATGTCACTAATCGTAGAATAGGAAATGCATGGTGGAGGCATGACAGAATGATGTTATCCTTACAGAGACACGGTAGAAGGGGTAGACGGGAGGCTAATGATACAATAGAACGGAATACTGAGCAGGAAAACTTAGTGGTAGGATTAATTAGAGATTTTGGGATCATGCAGAATGTGACTAAAATAACAGCTTGCCTACCATTACCACAGGCTGCAGGTGAACCTATTCCCTGGGGAATAATACCGGTAACCAAAATGCCTGAAACATTCAAGAATGTTTCATGGTCCTGCCAGTCAGTTCCCAAACCAGTGGATGTATGGAGGGATTTGTGTATGACCATTCGGGCTATGACTAGAGAGGAATGTGAAAAGAAACCCAATCATTATGGTTGGATTCAAAATACCAGGAGGTGTTTAATTGCAACCCCAATAGATGAGCCATGCAATACAGTACGAATAAGAACGAAATCCCACCGAAATGAGATGAGTTGTCAGAATGTCACACAGAATTTTGACACCTGGAATAGTTGGAAGACATTATGGGGACCTAGTGTTTTGGAACACTATGATTACCTTGGGGAAGTACAATGGTGCATCCAATGGTCAGGAGTAAAGAATCAGTCACATTATAGGGCCCTCATCACATCTACATCTTCCCGAGAGTTCAGACCGCAGAAAGAGGATTGGAATTGTACTGAGGTTTTTACATGTGACACACCGGAAGACCGAATTGGATTGGTACCGGTGAAAATGGCATTAAAGTGGGGATGCGAGTGTAGGGGATATGATCATACGGTTAGCAAAGAGTCCATGGAGGGACCTATAGATTGCAGATATACTACTGTGCATAGCCCTAGAAATCTAGTCTGGGTGTTGGGACATGGACAGTGGACCACACATTTACCTCTAGATGGATCAGTAACACAAATCACCCTAGGGGTTCCCACATTGTGTCCATACTGGAAACAGAATAGATTGATCCAAAGGAAAGGACTCAGAAAGAGGGAAGAATCCCTAGAGGAGCAGTGGCATGAACCTGGCTCAGGAGTACACTTTGGATGGATATTAGAATCATTATTCCCTCCGGCAGCGACATATCGAAATAGGGAGATGCTCAACAACTTGTTAGGACAGACAGAAAGGTTGGCAGCAGCTACTAAGAAGGGATTTAAAGATCTAAATTTGCAATTGCAAGCTACATCAAGAATGACCCTACAAAACAGAATGGCATTGGATTTGCTACTGTTAAGAGAACATGGAGTTTGTGGTTACCTGAGTAGGAGAATAGATCATTGCTGTGTACACATTCCAAATGTTACACTTGAAATTGAGAAAGATATTTCTTAACTGGCAGAAGTGGAAACAAAAACCAAGGAAATTGAAAAGGAAGCACAGCATAACTGGATAGGAGCAGTATTTGATTCTTTGGGGCTTCACCTGTCTGGCTGGATTACATCTGCTATAGAGTATGCACTAATGTTTTTAGTATTTTTAGTGACTATATGGATTGTATATAGATGCCTCTTAGGAGTGATCGAAAAGGAAAAGAAGCGATCTCTCCGGTTGCTGAAGGCCATGACCCGCGGGCGGCAGAATGAAGAACACTCCCCACCTCGTTATGAAGATGTTACTGTCAATACTGTTGATTGAGCATCCTTGCAGTAGGACTGAAGGATGCTCAAAAGTGGGGAAATATTGGAAAAGAAATGAAATTGCACAAAATGTGTAATTATAGTTTAGTTATGAGTTGTGTGTGAATTGGTTTGTTAAAAGCAGTTTTGCAGTTTTGCAGCCGTTGATAGTGTGTGTGTTTGGTTTGTGTGTAACTTAGCAGGTAGTCTTAGGAATTTAGTAAATAATTAAACTAGTGCAGGAGAGTAAGAATGCTAACCTGTCTGAAGGCAGCATACAATGCTCTTAGAATAAGATAAGCAGAAGATTTATGATCTTGCCTGTGAACTAAGGAATGTATCACAAGGGAACTGTTTCTTGGAGACTTTGTTGTGAATCGCATGTATAAGAGGGAAGCACCCATATGTGAAATCGGGGGCTTGGGTTTTTGGGACGTGAGTCCCCCAGCACCCTGGGCCCGTAATAAAGCACCCACAAAACTTATCCGAGTTTTGTGTCATTTATCAATCGGGCAACACCCGGAGACCTGCGGGACGAAGGGGAGATGGGGATGGGGCGATGCAAAAGTCAGGCTGAGGTGTCCAATTAATTAATGGGTGGATTTGGGCTCATTGCAGGGTTTAAGGAATTTTTCAATACAGGAAACCTCTGCTGGACATTTGAGGCAAGAAAAAAGGATTCTGGGGCAAAAGCAGAGAAGCTTTGCGGATGGGGGAGTGGCCGTGACCCTGCTGGAGTGCGGGGGGGGAACTCCAGCCCCCCGGGGGCTCCCTGCGCCTCCTCTGCCGAGGGTCCGGGTTCAGTTTTGGGAATTTTGGGATGGGCTGGATGCACCGGAGACCCGGGCAGGGGTTTGAGTGGGTCGGAACCATCACCAGCAGTGGTGGCGTCACCAGGTACGCAGATTCCATCAAGGGCCGGGTCACGATCTCCAGGGACAACGGGCAGAGCTCGGTGACGCTGACCATGAACAACCTCAAGGACGAGGATTCCGGATCCTATTTCTGCACCAAGGACACCGATGGTCACGGTGCTTATGCTGATGCTGGTTGGGGAGGATGGAACAGCAAAGCCTTATCAATATGGGTATATTGATAATATCAATAAGTCGGGTAAAAAATTTTGAGAATATGGAGACCATCAGAGAGATTGAAATGAAAGCAAGCTTTGAGATCCCTCAGTGACTGAACAACTGGAAAACAACGGCGTGGCCGGCTGAAGGTGATCCCATTTTGATGGAACAACACCCTCTGCCTGCAGACAGCTCCAAGGGTCAGAGCGACCCTACAGCTTGGCAGAAGGGCCCAAAGAGGAGTTTTTAGGGTTTAAAGTTACTCCAAAAAGGAGTTTTTAGGGTTTAAAGTTCTTCCAAAGAGGAGTTTTTAGGGTTTAAAGTTGCTCCAAAGAGGAGTTTTTAGGGTTTCCAAAGAGTAGGTTTTAGACTTGGCAGAAGGGTGCCAAAGAGGAGTTTTTAGGGTTTAAAATGTAATAGAGTACGGTAATGAAATGATTCTTTTAGGGTGTATGGAAATGATGTAGGGTTTGTATATTGGACCAGATTGGTTAGTGAGAATTAGAATATTCTACAGAGAAGAAGATTTATTTTGTTGTGGTGGGAACCTCACTCTCTTACCCTTTTATTCTCTTAGAGTTTTATGTTCCTACCCTTTTACACTCTTACCATTTTATTCACTGACTCTTTCACTCTCTTAGCCTTTTTATTCTCTCACCCTTTTACTCATTTACCTTTTTTACTCTCTTACTCTCTTCCCGTCTCATCCTCTCTCCCCTCTCTTCTCTCAGCCCTTCTCCAGCTGTGCCTGGTAGCTCCCAGCAGGGCCCTGCAGTTCGTCCTTTGCAATAAACCCCAAATGCCATGACCTGGCTGCAGAGATCTCTCATATCCGTCCGTCTGTCCCGACCGTCCTGCTCCCGGATGCTCCTGCAGTGCTGGATGGGGAATGGGGCAAAGCCCGGCACGTCAATAGAAGCAACACCATAAGTACCATCAGGAGTATAAGCATATTTGGCACAGAAATAGTATCCGGAATTCTCGTCCTTGAGGTTGTTCATGGTCAGCGTCACCGAGCTCTGCCCGTTGTCCTTGGAGATCGTGAACCGGCCCTTGACCGAATCCGCATAGCTGGTGCTGCCAGTGGTGCTGATATCTGCAATGAACTCCAGCGCCTGCCCGGGTCTCTGGCGGATCCAGGCCATCACAATAATCCCAAAATCGATCCCGGGCGCTCGGCAGAGGAGGCGCAGGGATCCCCCGGGGGGCTGGAGTTCCCCCCCACACTCCAGCAGGGTCACGGCCGCCCGGAGCCCTGTGGGACAAAGGGGAGATGGGGATGAGTGGATGCAAAAGTCAGGTGGAGGTGTCCAATTAATTAATGGGTGAACTGGGGCTAATTGCATGGTTTAACGCACTTTACCATTCTGGAAAACTCTGTTGGAGATTTGGGGACAAACAAAGGTAATTGGGGGCAAAACCAGTGAAGGTTTGGGGATCGGAGAGCGGCCGTGACCCTGCTGGAGGCCGGGGGGAACCCCCAGCCCCCCGGGGGGTCCCTGCGCCTCCTCTGCCGAGGATCCGGGTTCAGTTTGGGCAGTTTCAGAATGTTCTGGATCCGCCAGAGACCCGGGCAGGGGTTGGAATACGTCGCAGCGATCAAGAACGATGGATCCAGCTACGCCTACGCATCATCAGTGCAGGGCCGGTTCAGGATCTCCAGGGACAACGGGCAGATCTCGGTGACGCTGACCATGAACAACCTCAAGGACGAGGATTCCGGATCCTATTTCTGCGTGAAAGCTGCCTCTGGTACTTGGGGTGCTGCTGCTTATGGTATTGACCCCATCCCCATGGCCGTGTCCCCACCTGTCCAGGTTCCCCAGACCCTTCTCCCAAACTCTGCCCCTGACCCCATTTCTGACCACATCTCCCAACCCTGCCCTGGCTCTGCCCCAAATTCTCCACTCTTGGCCACAAAATTGACCGAAATCTTAACCCTTGACCAGAAGTATCCACTTTCAGAATCAAGTTTTGGGGCAGAAAGAGGAGATTGGGGTCAGGAGTTGTGGTTTGGGGTCAGCGGGTGAGAATTGGGGCCAAGGCAGAGCAAGGTTGGCATCAATGGTCAAGGGCTGGGTGTAGGCTGCGGGTTTGGGTGAAGGGTCTGGGGAACGGGGAGAGGGGGGGGCACAGGGATGGGGACACAACCATCATCATCACCTCAATTAGCAGCAGGACCACCAACACCTATACCAGAAAATTTCTCGCAAAAATAAATGGCGGAATCCTCATCCCTGAGGTTGTTCATGGTCAGCATCACCGAGCTCTGCCCGTTGTCCCTGGAGATCCTGAACCAGCCCTTGAAGGATGGATTGCAGTAGGTGTTCCCACTGCTGGCGATCACCGCAAGCCCCTCCAGAGTCTGCCCGGGTCTCTGGTGCTTCCACATCATCCCAAAACTGCCGAAACTGAACCCAGACCCTCGGCAGAGGAGGCGCAGGGACCCCCCGGGGGGCTGGAGGTCCCCACCGCACTCCAGCAGGGTCACGACCGCCCGGAGCCCTGCGGGACAAAGGGGAGATGGGGATGGGAAACCTGATTGGTCCAGGGCCTCAGAGTGGGCTTAGCCATTTGGAAAAAAGGGACAGGACCCACCTGGGAGGAGGAGGGTGATGAACGGCAAGGGTCAAAATTTGGGGCCAATAGTTGGGATGTTGGGGTCAAGGGTTGAGCTTTCGCCTCATCCCCATCTCCCCTTTGTCCCACAGTGCTCCAGGCAGCCGTGACCCTGCTGGAGTGCGGGGGGGACCTCCAGCCCCCCGGGGGGTCCCTGCGCCTCCTCTGCCGAGGCTCCGGGTTCGATTATTGGAAATTTGCAATGGGCTGGATCTGCCAGAGACCCGGGCAGGGGCTGGAATTCATCGCCAGCATCAACAGTGATGGTGGCAGCACCAGGTATGTGGATTCAGTCCAGGGCCGGTTCAGGATCTCCAGGGAGAACGTGCAGAGCTCGGTGGCGCTGACCATGAACTACCTCAAGGACGAGGATTCCGGATCCTATTTCTGTGCCAAATCTTCTGGTGTTAGCACTGCTCTTACTGGTTTTGTTGGTGTTTGGGTTGGTGTTTGGGGTCCTGGCCTCGTCCCTGTCCCCAGCTGTCCCCAGACCCTTCCCCAAACCCCACTGTCCCACCCCTGACCCTTTGTCCCAGCCCCGCCCCCTTTGCCCGAACGCTGCCCATTGGCCCCAAACCCTCACCTGGGTCTGCCCCCAAACTCAACTCTCAGCCCCAAATCTCCCACTTGTGCCCCAAAATTGCCCCAAAGGGCCGACATTTGGGAACAGCGGGTGAGGTTTGGGTCAGCGGCTGTGGCTGGGAGCCCAAAGTTGGGATTGGGGGCAGAATCAGGCGAGTTTTGGGGCCAAGGCTGGTGGGTTTGGGGCAGAACTAGTTTGGGGGTTTGGAGTCTTTAGTCTCCATTGGTGGAAATGGCGGAGATCTGGGCAAAGGGGTCAAGAATGAGGTCAAGGGCTGAGGTTTGGGTAAAGGTTCTGAGATTTGGGGATAAGAGGGGCTCAGGCATGGGCGCTGCCACCACCGGCATGGTCAATGTAAGCAGCAGCAGCCCAAGCAGCACCAGCAGCTTTGGCACAGAAATAGAATCCGGAATACTCGTCCTTGAGGTTGTTCATGGTCAGAGTCACCGAGCTCTGCCCGTTGTCCCTGGAGATCGTGACGCGGCCCTTGAACGCAGACGGGTATCTGGTGTATCCATTGCTGTCAATGCCTGCGACAAATTCCAGCCCCTGCCCGGGTCTCTCGTGCACACAGCTGATCCCAAATTGTCCAAAACTGAACCCGGACCCTCGGCAGAGGAGGTGCAGGGACCCCCCGGGGGGCTGGAGGTCCCCCCTGCACTCCAGCAGGGTCACGGCCGCCTGGGGTCCATGCCCAAATCTTTACCAATTTCTGTCATAACTCCACTGGTTTGGTCCCAAATCTCCATCAGACTTTTCTGGAATCCTGAGGTCCCTCTAACCCTACAAGTTAACTCAATATTCTCATTAATTAATTGCACACCTTGACCAGAGTGTTCCACACTGATTTCAAAACTAAAACCAGCATTAACCATCTCCAACCCCGGCACATCACGGCCATGGCCTCGAGCTCCCTCTGGCTCTTGGCCCTGCTGCTACTGCTGCCCCTCCCAGGTGGCCCCACCCCTTTTCCCCTTCTGAACCAATCAGGTTTCTGATCCTTACCTCCCCTTTGTCCCGCAGGGCTCCGGGCGGCCGTGACCCTGCTGGAGTGCGGGGTGGACCTCCAGCCCCCGGGGGGGTCCTTGCGCCTCCTCTGCCGAGGGTCTGGGTTTGATTTTGGCAGTTTTGGAATGTCCTGGATCCGCCAGAGACCCGGGCAGGGGCTGCAATGGGTTGCAGGGATCTACAGCACTGGTGCTTATACCGAGTACGCGCCATCGGTCAAGGGCCGGTTCGGGATCTCCAGGGACAACGGGCAGAGCTCGGTGACGCTGACCATGATCAACCTCAAGGACGAGGATTCCGGATCCTATTTCTGTGCCAAGGCTGCTGGTGCTGGTTGGGGTAATGATGTCTCTGCTCTTGGCCTCAACCCCTTGAATGTGTCCTCTGCTGTCCCCAATTCCCAGACCCTTCCCCCTAATCTCAGCCCTTCGCCCCATTCTTGACCCTTTGTCCCAGATCTCCCCCATTTCCAACACCACCAACCAGGAAGCAAAAACCCGTGAACTGGTTCTGCCCCAAATCGAACTAAATTGGCAACAATAGTCACTCAATTCTGCCCCAAATCCCCACTTAGCGCTCCAAGCCACAGCCAGTAACACGAGGCCTGAACCTTTGTCCGCAAACGGGACCCAGGGCCTCAAACTCCGGCCCTCAGAGCAACGTTTTGGGGCACAAATAGGAGATTTGGGGTCAGGAGTTGTGATTTGGGGTCAGCGGGTGAGAATTTTCGGCCGAGGCAGAGCAAGGATGGGATCAATGGTCGAGGGCTGGGTGTGGGCTGGGGGTTTGGGGGAAGGGTCTGGGGAACGGGGATAGGGGGGTCACGGAGATGGGGACAAAGCCATCATCATCACCTAAATTAGCAACAGCACCACCATCACAAGTACCAGCAGATTTTCCGCAAAAATAAACTGCGGAATCCTCGTCCTTGAGGTTGTTCATGGTCAGTGTCACCGAGCTCTGCCCGTTGTCCCTGGAGATCGTGAACCGACCCTTGACTGATGGTGCGTAGTAAGGTGTAGGCACTATTGTAGTAGATGCCTGCGACGTATTCCAAAGCCTGCCTGGGTCTATGGCGGATCCAGTATATTCCATAATCCCCAAAACTGAACCTGGCCCCTCGGCAGGGGAGGCCCAGGGACCCCCGGGGGGGCTGGAGGTCCCCCCCGCGCTCCAGAAGGGTCACGGCCACCCGGAGCCCTGTGGGACAAAGGGGAGATGGGCATGAGGCAATGCAAAAGTCAGGCAGAGGTGTGCAATAAATTAATGGGTGGATTTGGGTTAATTGCAGGGTTGAAGGCACATTACAATACTGGAAATCTCTGTTGGAGATTTCGGGCAAAACAAAGGGAGTTTGGGGAAAAACTGATCAAGGTTCTGGGATGGGGGAGTGGCCGTGACAATGCTGGAGTGCGGCGGGGACCTCCAACTCACCCGGGGGGTCCCTGCGCCTCCTCTGTCGAGGGTCCGGGTTCAGTTTTGAGGATTATGGATAGTGCTGGATCCGCCAGAGACCCGGGCAGGGGCTGGAATACGTTGCAGGGATCTGGAGCAGTGGTGCTTACACCGCGTATGCGCCATCGGTCAAGGGCCGGTTAAGAATCTCCAGGGACAACGGGCAGAGCTCGGTGACGCTGACCATGAACAACCTCAAGGACGAGGATTCCGGATCCTATTTCTGTGCCAAATCTGGCTATGATAATGATTGGAGTGCTGCTGCTTCTGATGAAGACGCCAGTTATGGATCCACGCCGATCTCCAAGTCCCACCTATCCCCAAATCCAGACACTTCCCCGGAACCTCAACCTTGACCCTTTGTCCAAAATCTCCCCCATTTGCACCAATGGCCAGCACTGACCCCCAACCCTTCCATGCTCCTGCCCCAAAACTCAACCATTGGCCCCAAATCTTCACCCCTGGCCTCCAGTTCAGGCCTCCTCCAATCAGTACCCAGGGAGCTGGGGGAGATTTGGGTGAAATGGGAAAAACTGGGAGAAAGTTGAATGTTGGGGCAATGATGGTGGTCACTGGGGGAGAAGGTCAAGAATGGGGTCAAGGGTTGGGATTTGGGCAAGGATTTGGGGATTTTGGGACATTTGGGGAGCCAGGGATGGGGGTTTGGGGCCACCACCAGCATCGTCGCCATGTCCAGAGCTCCCAGAGAGGATTCCAGCCCAGCCCCAAGGAGAAGCCCCAGACACCGTGGCCGCTGAGGGAGCAGTGGAGCCCCAGGTGGGAGCGAGGGAGGGAGGGAGGAGAGGACGCCACGATTTTGGGGCTCCGCAGCCTCCCCCCACTTCCTCCCCGGCAGCTGCCGGGGCCCGGCCGGGGCAGGAAAGGAAACAGAAAGTTGCTGGTTTTGGTCATGGTGAACATCTGTGTTTGGCAGAGGGCAGCTCAGCTCTGGGGGCTGTGGCAGCGGAGGTGCAAGTGTCCCAATTTGGGGCCAAGGATCAGGATTTGGGTCAAGGTTTGAGCTTTGGCCTCATCCCCATCTCCCCTTTGTCCTGAAGGGCTCCAGGCGGCCGGGACCCTGCTGGAGTGCGGGGGGGACCTCCTGCCCCCCGGGGGGTCCCTGCGCCTCCTCTGCCGAGGGTCCGGGTTCAATTTTGGCAGTTTTGGGATTTTCTGGATCCGCCAGAGACCCGGGCAGGGGCTGGAGTGGGTTGCGAGTATCAGCTACAATGGTGGTTGGACCGGGTACGCGCCATCATTCAAGGGTCGGTTCATGATCTCCAGGGACAACGGGCAGAGTTTGGTGACGCTGACCATGAACAACCTCAAGGACGAGGATTCCAGATCCTATTTCTGTGCCAAACGCACTGGTGCTGGTGCTGCTCCTTATGCTGCTGATATTTGACATTTCGGCCCCATCCCTGTGTCCCCTCCCGTCCCCGTTCCCCAGACTCTTCCCCAAAACCCCAGCCCCGACCCCACTCCTGTCCCGGTGACCCAACCCTGCCCTGCTCTGTCCCCAAATCTCAGCTCCTGGCCCAAAACCTCAGCTCCTGGCCCCAAATCAGGGCCGGTTTCACCCTGAGCTCAGCCTCGTCCCTCCTATCCCAACCATTGCCCCCAGACTTGTCCAGTATTACCCCAAATCTCCCCTGCGGACACAAAGTCACAGCCACCAACCCAAATCTTCACCATTGGACTCAGATCGGGAATTTTAGGCCAAATTTGAATTCTTGATCCCTGATGTTAACTTTGGTCCAAATCCTGACATTTCGGTGACATTTGAGGAATGAGGGCACTGAGTGTGGCCCAGAGGGGACATTTGGGGCAGAGCCAGAGCAGGGCTGGGACAGAGGGACAGGAATGGGGTTTGGGGGAAGGGTCTGGGGCGCGGGGATGCAGACAGGGACGCAGTGATTAGATCAGTTTGATCAAGACGACCAGCAGCATTACAACAACCATCAGTACTGGTTTTGGCACAGAAATAGGTGGCGGAATCCTCGTCCTTGAGGTTGTTCATGGTCAGCATCAGCGAGCTCTGCCCGTTGTCACTCGTCAATGTGAACCGGCCCTTGACCAAGTCCACGTAAAAGATGCTGCCACTTCTTCTGCTGATCCCTGCCACCATTTCCAGCCCCTGCCTGGGTCTCTGGCGGATCCACAGCATTGCAAATTTTTCGAAATCAAACCCAGAGGTGCGGCAGAGGGGTCGCAGGGACCCCCCGGGGGCTGGAGGTCCCCCCGTACTCCAGCAGGGTCATGGCTGCCCGGAGCCCATCCCCAAACCTTCACCACTTTCTCTCATAACTCCCCTTGTTTAGCCCCAAAACCCCACCAGACTTTTCCATATCTCAACATGGCTCAAACCCTGCAATTAACCCCAATCCATTCTTTAATTACTTAGACACCTCATCCTGAGCATTCTGCATTGATTACACAGTTAATGCACTGTTAACGACCCCCAAAACCCCAGGCACCCAAACCCGGGAACATCCCGGCCACAGCCTCGAGCTCCCTCCGGCTCCTGGCCCTGCTGCTCCTGCTGCCCCTCCCAGGTGGGTCCCACCCCTTTCTCCTGGAAGTCACACCCCTTTTCCCCTTCTGGACCAATCAGGTTTCCCATCCCCATCTCCCCTTTGTCCCGCAGGGCTCTGGGCGGCCGTGACCCTGCTGGGGTGCGGGGGGGAACTCCAGCCCCCCGGGGGGTCCCTGCACCTCCTCTGCCGAGGGTCCGGGTTCAATTTTGGGAGTTATAAAATGTTCTGGGTCTGACAGAGCCCCGGGCAGGGGCTGGAATACGTTGCAGATATCAGCAACACTGGTGGCTACACCGAGTACGCGCCAGCGGTCAAGGGCCGGGTCACGATCTCCAGGGATAACGGGCAGAACTCGGTGACGCTGACCATGAACAACCACAAGGACGAGGATTCCGGATCCTATTTCTGTGGGAAATGTGCTTACACTGGTGGTTGTAGTTCTGATGATGGTGCTATTGACGTGCCGGGCTTGGCCCCATCCCCAACCAGCACTGCAGGAGCATCCGGGCATAGGACGGTCGGGGCACACAGATGGACACAAGAGATCTCTGCAGCCAGGTCTGGAATTTTGGGTTTATTGCAAAGGACGAACTGCAGGGCCCTGCTGGGAGCTGCCAGGCACAGCTGGAGCAGGGCTGAGAGAAGAGAGGGGAGAGCGGGAGAAAGGGTGAGGCGGTAAAAGAGGAAGAGAGTAACAGAGTAAAAAAGGTCAGAGAGTAAAAAGCGTGAGAGAATAAAAAGGGTAAGAGAGTGAAAAAGTGAGTGAATAAAAGGGTAAGAGCATAAAACTGTAAGAGAAAAAAAGCATGAGAAAGTGAGATTCCCATCACCATACAATAAATCATCTTCTGTGTTGAATATTCTAATTCTCACTAACCAATCTAGTACAATATAAAAATGCTATAGCATTTCATCCAGCCTAAAAGAGTCATTATATTACTACACTTTGTTACATTTTAAACCCTAAAAACTCCTCTTTGGAGTTACTTTAAACCCTAAAACCCCCTCTTTGGAGTAACTTTAAATCCTAAAATCTCCTCTTTGGCCCCTTCTGCCAAGCTGTGCGGTCTGCTCTGACCCTTGGGCCTGTCTGCAGGCAGAGGGTGTTGTTCCATCAAAATGGGATCACCTTCAGCCGGCCACACCATTGTTTTCCAGTTGTTCAGTCACTGAGGGATCTCAAAGCTTGCTTTCATTTCAATCTCGCTGATGGTTTCCATATTCTCAAAATCTTTTGCCAGGCAATCCTTTTGGTAAGGCTTTGCTGTTCCATCCTCCCCAACCAGCATCAGCATAAGCACCGTGACCATCGGTGTCCTTGGCGCAGAAATAGGATCCGGAATCCTCGTCCTTGAGGTTGTTCATGGTCAGCATCACCGAGCTCTGCCCGTTGTCCCTGGAGATCCTGAACCGGCCCTTGACGGAATCCGCGTACCAGGCGCTGCCACCACTGCTGGTGATGGTTCCGACCCACTCCAGCCCCTGCCCAGGTCTCTGGCGGATCCAGGCCATCCCAAAATTGCTAAAATCGAACCCGGCCCCTCGGCACAGCAACGTCAGGGATCCCCCGGGGGGCTGGAGGTCCCCCCCGCACTCTAGCAGGGTCACGGCCGCCCGGAGCCCTGCGGGAGAAAGGGGAGATGGGGATGAGGCGATGCAACACTCAGGCAGAGCTTTCCAATTATTTAATGGGTGGATTGGGGTCAATTGGAGGCTTGAAGGCACTGTATAATACTGGGCATCTCTCTTGGAGATTTGGGGCCAGACAAATGGAATTTGGGGCAAAGTCAATGAAGGTTTGGGGATGGGGGAGGAGCCGTGAACCTGCTGGAGTGCGGGGGGGACCTCCAGCCCCCCAGGGGGTCCCTGCGCCTCCTCTGCCGAGGGTCTGGGTTCAATTTTGACAGTTTTGGGATGGGCTGGATCGACAGAGACCCGGGCAGGGGCTGGAATTCATTGCATAGATCAGCAAAAGTGGCAGTACCGACTACGCGGATTCGGTGCCGGGCTGGTTCAGGTTCTCCAGGGACAACGGGCAGAGCTCGGTGACGCTGACCATGAACAACCTCAAGGACGAGGATTCCGGATCCTATTTCTTTGGGAAAGCTTCGTGCTCTGGTCATGTTCCTAGTGCTCGTTATGTTGACGATGCCCGTTATGGCCTCCAGCTCCTGGTTCCGATACCACTCCCAGCACTGAGTCCCAAGAGTTCTGATTTTCGTCCCAAATCTCACCTCTTGACCCAGCCCTTGACCCTTTGTCCCCATTTGCCCCAATGGTCAGCACTGACCCCAAACCCTCCCCTGCTCCTGCCCCAAAACTCAACCATTGGTCCCTAACCTTCACCCCTGGCCTCCAGTTCAGGCCTCCTCCAATGAGGGCCCAGGGAGCTGGAGGAGATTTGGGTGAAATGGGCAAAACTGGGAGAAAGTCAGAAATTGGGACAGTAATGCCAGAGTTTGGGGGTAAATGGTGAACATCTGAGGAGAAGGTCTGGGATATTGGGAACGGATATGCGGGGATTGGGGAAATTTGGTGACCATCATGGCGGGTGGGACCATTGCCGGAACTGTCACTAAGAGCAGCACTATCATAACCGTTTGAGGACATCAGGGAGATTTGGGGCGAATTTTGCTGCCAACTTTCTTGGTTTGGGGCAGAACCCGTCAGGGCTTTCTGGATCCGTGGTTGGCGTTGCTGGAAATGGGGGAGATCTGGGGGAAAGGCTCAGGAATGGGGTCAAGAGCTGCGATTTGGGGAAGGGTCTGGGGACTGGGGACAGGAACGGCTCACAAATGGTGGTGTGACCACTGGCACGATCAATATAAGCAGCAGCATCAGCACCACGACCATAAGCAGATTTGGCACAGAAATAGGTGGTGGAATCCTCGTCCTTGAGGTTGTTCATGGTCAGCGTCACCGAGCTCTGCCCGTTGTCCCTGGAGATCGTGAACCGGCCCTGCACCGATGGCCCATACCAGGTGCTGCCACCACTGCTGCTGATCCCCGCGAGCCACTCCAGCCCCTGCCCGGGTCTCTGACGCACCCAGAACATTTCAAAATTCCAAAAATTGAACCCGGCCCCTCGGCAGAGGAGGCGCAGGGAACCCCCGGGGGGCTGGATGTGCGCCCCGCACTCCAGCAGGGTCACGGCCGCCCGCAGCCCTGCGGGACAAAGGCGAGATGGGGATGATGAGATGCAAAACTCAGGTGGAGGTCTCTAATTAATTATTGGGTAGATCGGGGTTAATTGCAGGGTTTAACATAAGTTAAAACATAAGGAACCTCTGTTAGATATTTGAGGCCAGACAAAGGGAGTTTGGAGCAAACCAGAGAAGGTTTGGGGATGGGGGACCGGCCGTGATCCTTCGATTTCAGGAGTTTCACCATGTTGTGGGCGCGCCAGAGACCCGGGCAGGAGCTGGAGTGGGTGGCAGCGATCTGGAGCGATGGTGGCACCATGTACGCCTCATCAGTCCAGGGCCGGTTCAGGATCTCCAGGGACAACGGGCAGAGCTCGGTGATGCTGACCATGAACAACCTCAAGGACGAGGATTCTGGATCCTATTTCTGTGCCAAATGTGTGGATGCTGGTTGCTATGATGCTGCTGAACGTTTTGACCCCATCCCCATCCCTGTGTCCCCCCCTGTCCCCATTTCCCAGACCCTTCTCGCAAACCCCCAGCCCACACCCAGCCCTTGACCATTGATCCCAACATTGCTCTGCCTCGGCACCAGCTCTCACCCACTGACCCCAAACCACAACTCCTGACGCCAAATCTCCTCTTTGTGCCCCAAAACTTTGTATTAAAGAGGACAATTTCAGGCCAAGTGTCAAGATTTGGGTCAACCAGTTGGCCAGGAAATGAGAATTTGGGGAAGGATCAGCCCAGGGCTGGGACACAGGGACAGGAATGGCATCAGGGGTTGGGGTTTGGGGGACGGGTCTGAGACATGAGGGCAGGTGGGGACACGGGGATGGGTGTGGGGACAACACCGGCATTGTCAACATAACCAGCAGCAGTGCCACCAGTACAAGTATCAGAATATTTCCCGCAGAAATAAACGGCAAGTTCCTCGTCCTTGAGGTTGTTCATGGTCAGCGTCACCGAGCTCTGCCCGTTGTCCCTGGAGATCCTGAACCGGCCCTGCACCGACGGTGTGTAGTAGGTGCTGCCATTGCTTTTGATCCCTGCGAGCCACTCCAGAGTTTGCCCGGGTCTCTGGCGAAACCAACTGAATGCAAAACTGCCAAAACTGCTCCCGGCCCCTCGGCAGAGGAGGCGCAGGGACCCCCCGGGGAGCTGGAGGTCCCCCCCGCACTCCAGCAGGGTCACGGCAGCCCGGAGCCCTGCGGGACAAAGGGGAGATGGGGATGAAAAACCTGATTGGCTGAGGGCATGAATGGGTGGCAGTGTCAGCTTGAAAAAGGGACGGGACCCACCTGGGAGGAGGATGATTAACTCCAAGGGTCCCAGTTTGGGGCCAAGAGTCAGGATTTGGGTCAAGGTTTGAGCTTTGGCATCATCCCCTTCTCCCCTTTGTCCCGTAGTGCTCTGGGCGGCCGTGACCCTGCTGGAGTGCAGGGGGGCACCTCCAGCCCCCCGGGGGGTCCCTGCGCCTCCTCTGCCGAGGCTCTAGGTTCAATTTTGGGAAATTCGGGCTCGGCTGGGTTCGCCAGAGACCCGGGCAGGGGCTGGAGTGGGTCACAGCGATAGTCAGTGATGGATACAACTGGTACCCACCTGCGTTCAAAGGCCGGGTCACGATCTCCAGGGACAACGGGCAGATCTCGGTGACGCTGACCATGAACAATCTCAAGGACGAGGATTCTGGATCCTATTTCTGTGCCAAATGTGCTTATGGTGGTTGGATTGATGGTCCTGCTGCTGTTGAATATTTAGATGGCATTGCCTGCCCCCTGTCCCCACCTGTCCCTATTCCCCAGAGCCTTCCCCCAAACTCCAACCCCTCACCCCATTCCTGACCTGTCACAGACTTTTTTTGTTAAAATCCTTTCTTTTAGGATTTTTCTTTTTTAGGAAGCTGGGGCCTCAGAAGAAAAATGTAAACAATAATTATCTGCTGGTGTGGAATGTAACAGGTGCATCTGTGATTGGTCCTCTGTGAGTGTTTGGATTTGCTGACCACTCACGGCAGAGTTTGTCCTTGCTTTCTGCTGGACACAGAACTTTGTTATTTTGTTCTTTCCTATGCTATTCTTTCCTTAGCAGCTTCTGCAACTTGTCTCTCTACTCCTTTTATTATAATCATAATGTATTATATATCATATATTATTCAATCCGGCCTTCTGTTTATGAACCAAGATCCTCGTCCATCTCTCGCATCCTGAGGAATGTAGTAGATAGGGTCAGGCGCTCGGAAAATCTCGCGATGTCACGGAAAGCAGCAGGATCCCTCTCCCCCTAACTTCTAGTGATAAGGGATCACCCAAGAATGTAGTCCCCCCTAACATTAGTAACTTTCGACTCCTTACTAACCAATTACAGTAAAGTAAGACCCCCTGACGTAGAGAGAAAACTCCCCCAGTATAAAACCCGACGAGACGGGACAATAAAGGTCTTGAACCGTCCGCCATACTGGTGCTAGCGTGTGTTCTTGGCCCGAGTGACCCTGGAGAGTTTGGGTTGCCGTGCCGTTTCCTCAGAACCAGGTCGCCTCGCCTTGCATCAGAAGGCGACAAGTGGTGCCGGAAACCCGGGATCGAACCAGTGCCCGGGGAACGGGGATCGCCTGGACAGAGGACGGCGGCTGCACAGCTGGCCTTGTGCAGCGGAGGGGACGCCCTCGAATCATGGAAGCAGTCTCAAAGGTCGTAAGTGAAGTGTGCACACAATGGGGAATAGATTGTAAGCTTAAAGATGTGACTCTCGCATTGTCGAGATTGATTAAGCTGGGGGCTATACAGAGCCCCGTGGGTATTTTACACCCAGAGGTGTGGGATAACTGTACGAAAACCCTGGCCGAGGATACCATGTGTTCAGGCTCGGGGAAAGCCCTAAAATCGTGGGGCAGAGTCATCCGGGCTCTGCAAAAAGCTCGACAAGAGGAAGAAACCTGGAAAGCTGCCAGAAGCTACTTAATAGCCACTCCGCAGCTAGGGGTGGGGGCACCGACACAGACCACCCCGGAAAGCGATCAGATTGCAGATGGGGATGTGCGGGGGCTAGGCGCGTCCCACCTCCCCTCGAGCCCGAGCCCAAAACCCCCGGGAGACCCCCCAACCCCCCCGCGAAGCCCGCCAGATCCCAGCCCCCCGCCGGAGCCTCCCGACAAAACCGCGGCTCCTCTACCCATTCCCCCCCCGCCGATCGCTGACCCAGCACAGGAGGCAGAGCAACGGGCGCAGTGTTTTTGGAGGGGGCTGACGGAGGAGGCGCGGGAAGCGGCGGGACGGTCAGAAACCGCCCGGATCGATAACATCTCTCCGCTGCCGTATGGGCTCGAAGATGGCGGCCGGCCGCGTGGTCAGGGCGGAAGAGAAGAGGGGACAAAGGGCGGAAGTGGGATCAGCCCGCTTAACATCGCATGCGCGGGAGAGCGGGGAGGGGGGGCGGTCCCCGCGGTGAGGGGTGAGACCAATCAGAGCGCTCTATTCAAATTAAGCCCGTATAAGGCAAGGACCTCCCCCAGCAGGAGGCGGGGAGACCCCAGGGGGAGGGAACGGTCCGCCCCCCGCAGGAGGGGGCGGGGTCGGAGCCCGAGAAAAAGGCAGAGCAGCCCGGAAGTGCTCGACCATTCCACTTCCGACTCCGACTCAGACTCGAGCCGGGACGAGTCCGAGAGGGAGTCGGGGAGCTCCAGTTCGGATACTAGCCTTAACAGAGGGAGAGCAGCAGCATACAAGATCTCTAGTCACAGTGCTCCCGCATGGGTGAAGGGATTATCAGAGAAAGACCGGACCCCTCTTACAGATTGGCGAAAAATAAAGATAGCCTGCGCCGAGTACACCCCTTCAGCCAAGCTAGTGTTTCCTGTCCGTGTGGGGGGGGCAGGCGAAAACCAAAGAAGGACCTATTCTCCAGTGAATCCAAAAGAGGTACAGGCAATTATTAAAGCGATTGCAGACAAGGGAATTAATTCTGCCATGGTTAACACGCTCATAGATGGGGTTTTTGGAGGGGATGACATGCTTCCCTTTGACATCAAACAGACGTGTAGGATGATTTTCAATGGCGCGGGGATGATTGTTTTTAAACAAGAGTGGGAGGACCAATGCACAAAGGAGCTAGCCCAGATAATGGGACCTGACCATCCACTGCACGGCTCCAGTATACAGAGATTGGTGGGTAGAGACCCCACGATGATCACCCCCCAGGCCCAGGCTGAGGGATTAAGGGCCCATGAAGTTATGACAACCACCCGGGCTGCCCGAGAGGCCATTCGTTCTGCTTCCAAAGTAGTGGCTAAACCTGCCCCGTGGTCTACCATAAGACAGAGTGAAAGTGAGAGCTTCACTCAGTTTGTGGACAGACTTCAGGCAGCGTTAGATTCCTCCTCATTGCCCCCAGAGGCGAAGGGTCCTGTGCTGGCAGACTGTCTACGCCAGCAATGCAACTCAGCCACCAAGGACATTCTAAGATCACTGCCACCTGGGGCCAACATAGCAGACATGATCAAACACGTCGCAAAAGAGGAACACCTTGCTCCCATCCAAGCAGCAGTCCACACTGCAATAACCAGTGTGATGGCGTGCCTTGAGTGTGGCCAGGCAGGCCACTTGGCAGTAAACTGCCCCCAGCCAGGATGCCTATCAGCAGCTGCTCCACCACGAGAAGGAGAACTTAAGGGACCGTGTTGGGCATGCGGGAAAGAGGGACATTTAGCTAAGGAATGCAGATCCAGGCCTCAGGGAAACGGGGGAGGGAGGGGGTGGTCGGGCCGTGTTCAGCCCCCTCCCACCTGGAATGCGCAGCGGCCCAGCTACAGCAACCCCCAGTGGGGACCCTCATACCCCATGCCCCCACAGGGAGCAGTCAATTTTGCACCCCCGCCTACGACGCAATGGCAGAGTTATACAGCACCCTCAGTACCTTCGCACCCCCCACCGCCACAAGCCGCACCAGTGCCACAGGGCCAGCAGGAGATGCCCCAGAGGGGGGTCCCTGGGTGGCCCTGGCCATGAAAATAGGGAAGGAACCCCTGATGGTGTGGGGGACATGCCGCCTTTATGGCAATCAAGATCCCCACGTCATAGGGTTTCAGTTCTGGGCAGACACGGGATCAGACTGCACGATCATTCCCCAAGCACATTGGCCCGGACGTTGGCAATTCAAAGAAGTCCCTCCAGTGAACGGGGTGGGAGGGCAGTCCCGGGCGTGGAAAAGCACCCAGCTGGTGGCTTTAACACCTCACACAAAAAAGGGACCAGGAGTGCCAACATCAGCAGCAGCCCTGATGCTGGAAGAAGCACCCTCCTCGCAACAGGGCACCGTGTCAGT